TGGCCAGAGCCCCTCGTCACACCGCGCGTAAGAAGGGCTCTGGGTACGAGAATGAGTTTGATTCCTGCAAGCCTCGTCCCCAGGCTCCAGTACGTGCGTGGGGTTTGCGACGCGCAGCTCTGAAAGCGCACGAAGGAATTTCCTCCTCTCGCCCACGCGTGTTTCTCCCGTGTCGGGGACGAGCTGGATTCCTGCAGTAGAGACCTTACGATTTAGGACGGCATCGCGACGGCAACGGCTACCAATACAACAGATCATTGAAAAGAATTGAATAATTACAATATATGAATAATTTAGACTTGTCCTCGCTCTGTTTACAACGCCAAATCACAGATTTTCCGTCTTGATACAACGGCTGCATTTCAAGCCACAACAAGTGCAACTTCAAACTGGGTTCAGGAGGACTCTTCCCAACCATAAAACCCATGTCTTCAACTTCTAAGACTGTATTAAATTCACACGATTGATAATATACGACGAATTATGTTTACTACAATTTATTTGAAGGACTTTGTTTTGGCCGTCGTCGTCTCGTTGCCGTCCTAAAATCGTAAGGTCTCTAGTATAAAGTTCAGTGACACGATTCGTCTCGGGGTGGCGCGACTCATATGAACAGCCCCTTATAAATGTTTGAAGGCTTCAACCAGCGTTTCTAAGCAGCACGAAAGTGCCCAGTGAGACTCAGCAAGACTCACCTATTTATTTTTGTAGATGCCAATAATCAATATGCAGTTGCCTATTTATAGATTTTTTCTAGGGGCAAACCTCTCAGAAACCATATTCTAGTCTCAAGGATAAAATTACAAGATATAGATCACGTATTTATTCAATAGAACATACATCAATTCCGTTATATACTCTCAGTTTTTCGGGGATATTCATTAAATTTAGTAGTTATTTTAGTTAGATTTCAATGGTATTTATCGTGCTTTTAAAGGATATATTTCATACATATTTACATGCTTTTTCGAACTTTTACAGACTTTGGACCAGTTTCGGACTTTTACTCTTCGGACTTTAACTTTTCATCACTGAGTGTGAGAGACTTTTGGAGTGATTTACCTTCGCCTTTTTAACATGCTGGCCAGTATCAAGTAATCAGTGAATAAGGCAGGTTTTTTAGACAGGAATGCGATGAAAGAGATAAAATGGACAGAAATAGTATACATGCAATATCGTGTATGTACATCCGTTTTTCACAAAACGTTGGCAATATTATAGAGGCAATTTCATTGTAAATCGACCAAGCCCAAGGTAACTCGCGACTCTTATATACACGGAAAGTATTGAAAGCATTGAAGGGTTAAATCTCATATCGAACCTGCGATTCCGGTGCAGCGCTCTAACCAACTCAACTCGTGTTGGTACAGAGTTGCAAATATGTTCAACCTTCTTCCGGGTAAAAATTCAAAGTTTGAAACATTTCTCAAAATAATGTGAATTATAATATGGCTTTTTTAAATTGCAAGATATATAAATTGTCATTAAAAATCGGCTTCTTGTTCCTATATTTCCTACTGAAATTTTTCAATTTTATTATTGTTTTCTCCTATGTATGCTCAATGACAATGTGATAGTCATCTGATATCGATTCTATCACAGTTATCAGCGCAATATCGGCTCCTGCCAACCTCAATCTGCCTAGTGCCCTCTAGTCAAGTATTATTTATTTGTTGTATGGTGACAGGTCAGTTGGTAAACCTTCTTCACGTCATGTGGTGGTATTTCAACAAAAGAATCTCATTATCTTTCACCGAATTTGACATCAACATATATAGTTGTCGATCGTTTTATTGTCTTTTAATTCCCAAGAGATTGGTTGCAATCCACCCATAAAGTCCTGACGATTTGAGAGCTGAACACGTTTGTAAATACTACACATTCAGCCCTGAAATATGATCGAAACTGTCATCTTGGCCGTTTGCGAGTTGTTTTTGAACAGCTCATATTATTATTTCGAGTTTTATATACAAGAACTGAATATAAAAACCACCAACTTGCCTTTCGAATGCGAAATTATATGCATAATAGCAAAGATAAAGTACTTAATATTTTTGTAGTTTCAATTCAACAGTTTAATACAACATTCCAAAATGGTGATGATCCTTTGGCCACTTCGACCCTTTGTACTCGGAATTTATTCATGGTATCAAATTGCACACCATCTATGGCCGGCTGCCTTTTGCAAATTTTCGGGCAACTCACAGTAACATTTTATTTGGGTTTATAGTCTTAGAATTGGACTTTGAAACTCTTCAATTGGTTTGACCATGAACAACCTTATTGGCCCTGACGCGTCGACAAAATACATAAAAACCTACGCTTTATATACTAGCTTTGTTTTGCAACCAATTTGCAACTTCGTCTAATTATAAATTCTAATTAGCATTTTAATCCTTGCGACACTCCTCTAATTGCCCAATTTGCGCAGCTGTTAAAAAAGCTTTTGTAAAAACTTTTAATATTAGCAAAATACAGTAACTCCAGAATTCTGCCAAAACGAAAGGATTATAGTCTTAAGTCATTGTTTTGAAATGCATTTTGGACTTTGAACAATTTCATCACATTTTTGGCGCTGTATTGTTTTTGGGTGAACAACGACATAAATAGTCATCGGGGAAAGTCGTTATGACTTCGCTATTCGTGAATGCAAATTAGGACGTTTCTATTGGCTCGTACAACGATCGTGACGTGTCGTATCGATCACATGAAGTTCAAAGTCCGGGGACACTTTATGACAAAACCGAAGCTTCTTTTGAAAAGACGTCATTTTCGTTTGCAAATTTTGCTAAAACCGAACTATTCTTGTGCTTCCGAAACCTCAAAACATGGCTGAAGTTAATCAAGAGCAAGTTCAAGTCGAGGAGAATAACGCAGTTGGTTTTTACGAGCGTTTAACGGCCCTGCCTGTCGTAAGCGAAGCGATAAACCAGACAGGCGCGATTTACAACGCAGTCAAGGGCCATAATGGCTTGACCCAGTACGCTTGCGATACGGGCGAAAGTGTCGTGAAACGAGTCACTGCAACAGCTTATACTGTTGGTACACCGATTGCTGGCTTGGCAATGAAAGTTGCTGAACCATATGTCGGTAATCCAGGTCAGTACTTCACATTTATTTAATGTTTTTATTTATACTGTGTCTGTATATTGTTCGAGAATCGAGAAACTGTATTGTTTATATCATATGAAAGCTCACATTTTGTGTGAATGCGTACTCTGTTTAAAATTCTTAATACTCTGTAGTCAAGATTCTACACAATAATACCAGACTTTTCCAGAAGTATATCGTTATCAGCAATTCTAGGGAGGGGGTTTTCAGGTGCCCAAATGTGCCTTTATACTTTGTTAATGTCTACCACGTGATCTTTCTTGTCAAAAAGAAAGTATTCGGTGTGTTAATGGTTATTCATATTCTTAGCGAAGCATCATTGAACATTGTCATCATCAACATACATTACTATTGTGTTTGTCATGATCATTAGCACCATCATTGTTATCACGATTCCAAGGGTCATTCCCACTGGTCATTCCAGAAAAGGTCTACATCCCCCCTATGGAAGAAATTTCTGCCATCCTTGGGGGAGGGGGGGGGGGGATATTCTACTACTGAGAATAGTAGAATGTAGTAAGACATCTGAAGGTGGTAGGGGGCTTATCTTCCAGTTTCCTTTGTGGTGGAGGTGTTGATGTTTTCTGGAATGAATGATAATGGCATCTTGATGAACTATCAACAATATAATTTTCAAAGACAATCCCAACATCATCACCATTATCATTATCACCATCATCACCACCATCAATACTATCATCATAATCACATTTTAATCATCGTCACCACCACCATCATGATGTTTGCCACCATCATCAGGCCTTGCCCTGATGAAACCCAAAGTAGCATTTCTCAGTTATTCAAGCCACTTTTCTTTGGCCTAGGTATCATAACAAAACAAGGTATTATACAAACTTTTCAATGACTTTTATCACTGTTTATAGTGACCACCTTAGATCATGTTGCTGAACAAACATTGGCAAAATGTGAGGAAACCTTTCCTATCATTACAAAACCCCCAGCTGAGGTAAGTTGGCTATGTATAAAGTTAGATGGCCAGGTGAAAAGAGCCTAGGCCAGAATAAAATATGTTGGTTTCCCGACCCTATCTAGCTTTTGGACGTCGAAATCCTGACCCTAAACTTTTTTTATTGGATCATGCTTGTAAGTGTTTCCACTTAGAGGAAAAAGTTTGTGGAAAATTGAAATTTGAGGCAATATTAGGGACATTTATCTTTGGATGTGGAAGCACTGACTAAACAAAATGGCGTCCGGTTGTTAGGAAAATTTAAAAAAAAAGTTTAAAAAAAAAGTTAAAACCTACCTACCCTACCTAAGTTTTTATAAGAAGAAACCGGAAACCCACATATTTTTTTTGGCCCTATTAGAAAACAGATGAAATGCCCCCCCCTTTTCAAATATAATTTTATTTATTTCTTATCTAGATTGTCAGCACAACGGTGGATGCAATTAAAGGCAAAGCTGGTGACTGTTACAATGCTGTGAACAACACTCGTGTTATTCAATTCACCCATGCGAGAGTGAACGAAGCTATATCACTCTCTGAGCTTGCTGTCGAGGTCATCCTACCTGCCAGTCCTGACAGTCCCGAAGATGTTGGCGAGGAAGAACAAGAGTCACTCGAAATGAAGAATTCAGAAGTACCTAAGGGACATGCTGAAAGAGTTTTGGCTCTCGGACACAGAATTAAGCGACGAGGAAGCAAGAAGTTAATGGGCTTGAAACCTGTTCAATTCTCTTACGACAGTGTGAGTTTTAAATCTTGTTTTCCACAGAATATAGGGGCGCAATCTTGTAATGCTTTCATCTATGACATAAAACATACCAAATCTGTGGCTATCAGATTATCATTAACCCATTGAGTGGCAGCACTCTCCACTTGACAAGTAAAAAACTCTGGCATTAGACAGAGGAAAATACTAATTTAAAGTAGGTCGCATCAGGGTGCATTGCCATTTAAAAGGGTTAATAAAACATGTCTAAGGTGCATGAAATGGAATTTTGCAGCCACAAAATGGAAGAATTTTCCGGAATTTTTCTTTGTCTTGTGATTTCTCGGGTGGAACTAATTGGAAAAGACAAAGAGAAATTCCGCTCTGCGCGAAAAATTCGGCCTAGTGGAAAACAGCCTTAATTATTATGATTGTGGTTGCACGTTTCACCTCAGCTATCCCTATTGGATGATTACTTCATTTTACTAAAATACAATGAGCTCAATCACTCTGACTGTGCACGATAAACTCACACAAAAGCATAACATAATGACTTCAGCTTAGTTTCCAGACTATCATATTTTGATAGACTATGCCAACTTGTACCTTGTAATAGTTCAATATTTTTCGCCTATTTCTAGGTGATGTCCATGCAGCAGAACATGACCGACCTCGTCCACAGATCTCAGGAAGCCGGCAAGTCTGTGCACGAAGCCATCCTGGTCATCCCAAGCTTGGCCATTAAGTTGACCGGAGAAGCTGTTGTGAATACCAAAGCTTTTATCATCGCTTTTAAAAATGTATGTTGATGTGAAATCCTGACAAACTAGTGGAAACATCGTTGCAGATCTAACCCATTGAGCGCGAGCCCCTTCACAAGTAAAATTGTTTGACATTAGATGCAGTAAAATACTAAAGTAGGGTGCACTGCAAGTGCACTGGGTTAGCTAGATGCATGGGCTAAACATCTAGTGGTATTCTAGCCTGCTTGAGGCTTGATACTTTGAAATAGTTTATCCGACAAGTAATTTGCCTACTTACATACCGGAGGACAGAGGTACGCCAATATTACGGTCTGGTAGTTCTTTGTTTTCAGCCATGTACCACGTAGGTATGCACAACTGTTCCTATCTGCGTACTTACATGTTGCTGGTACCACATGATCTTTCCAAGCCCAAGGTATTTAATATGATCGTAATTTAGTTGTATATGTGTAAAGGCTGCTTTGCACTGTCTGATCACAGTAGGAATTTTGCATGGGTAGATTCTAAGTTTTGAAGGATTTGTAAGAAATGTTTGAGGGAACTGAGTCAGGCCAAAAAAAAAAATATGTGGGTTTCCGGTTTCCTGACCCTACCTAGCTTTTGGACGTCGAAATCCCGACCCTAAACTTTTTTATTGGATCATGCTTGTAAGTGTTTCCACTTGGAGGAAAAAGTTTGTGGAAAATTGAAATTTGAGGCAATATTAGGGAAATTTATCTTTGGATGTGGAAGCACTGACTAAACAAAATGGCGTCCGCTTGTTCGGAAAATTAAAAAAAAGTTTAAAAAAAAAGTTAAAACCGACCTACCCTACCTAAGTTTTTATAAGAAGAAACCGCAAACCCACATGGCAAATTTTTTTTTTTGGCCTCAGTGTTAAACAATGAGTCCGTTCCCTCAAACATTTCTTACAAATCCTTCAAAACTTAGAATTTACCTATGCAAAATTCCTACTGTGATCACAGAAACTTTGATAGCGTAAACCAGTCTTAAGTCTGACATGTCTTGGCCGGAAACATGATTTGACTTGATGGCACTAAGGATTGTTGCAGTCGATTGCTTGTATATGCAATTGTGCTTCTTGTACTATTAAACTCGTAGTTTGAACATACTTTCAGAAACCTGTACCTTATTTTCAAGACTAAGTACACATTGAGTATTGACTTTACACTAGATCAAGTACGCGGCAATAATTACAGGTATATTATTACTAAAAATCTTAAATTATCGCACCCTGGTCTCATGCCATTAAATGATTAATCCAATCGTGTATCACGCCATGATGCGAAGACCTGTCAGATCTACACATACTGTACATCTACTTAATTATGGTTTTGAACACTTCAGATAGTTTAGTCATATTGCATCAGAAAAATGTAAGTATGTAAATAGCGAAAGTACTGCGTATACTTACGTGGTACTTGGCTGAAAACAAAGATATACCAGACTGTAATACATTGGCATACCTCCTGTACGAACTGTAAGTAGTGATTGACCCATTGTGCAACAATCGGAAATTATGGGAACCACTGGCACTGAGTATTTTACAAAATACAAAACAACGGTAACTCCGAAAAGGAACATTTTTAATATAGTTCTGGCTTTCGATTATGTTTTAGTCCTCATCAGGAAGATCTTCACTTATAGATATCGTTGACGTTGTAATGTAACCTAGCATCATTCCTGATGATGATCAAAACATAATCGAAAGCTAGAACTATATTAAAAATGTTCCTTTTCGGAGTTACCGTTGTTTTGTATTTTATCCAATCAGCCTTTCTCACGATGACGAATATCCGCCATTTTTGGGTGGCATCTAATTCTCGTTAACCAATGCAGACAATTAAAACAATGTGAAAAGCAATTTTTCAAAATAAACTAACCATTTACAAAGCAAATTTACCATCATTAGTCAAAAAATTATAAAAAAGTCGCTGTTATTTGGACTTATCTCGTAGACTTTAAGTGCAATAAATAGTTTCGCGAAGACTTAACGCTTGCCTTGGAAGGCGCGCAGTGTTTCAATTCTATTTCGAAACCATCCTTGCAAGAGATATGAAAAAGAAGTTTTACAAACACGTACTTGTTGTATTTTATTGGTTTGATTTTACTCAATTCATGTTCTCTCTTTTTAGACGTACTCTCTGAACGACTTGCCCGGTTCAGTCGCGAGTGCAAGCAACCACATCGTCAAACCAGTTAAGGATGCCACCGGTCGTATTATTGGGAAACTCCTGTTACCACCGAAAATGGTCGCCGAGTACATCCTCTCGTCCAAACCAATCCAATGTCTCATCCCCAACGTTGTTGTATTTGAGGAGATCTCGAGAATCGACATCGAAATGGATGAACTGGTCGTAGATGACAGCGACGAAGACACGGATCAGATGGAAGATGCTGACGATGATGGCGAGGCTGATGATCATGGCGAGGCCGAGGCGAAATAAGTTTTAATGAACGTTATATCAATATGTGACCCAATGTTTTGTTTGTTCGATTACCATTAATTATTTAGTTGTAAAGATTGTTGAGGATGAGGTTTTAATATGTATAAGATATCTTAGCAAGTAAGAAATTCCAATTGTGGTGATATGAAAACTTGATCGGTTGGACCATAGCCTATCGAAGGGAAGATGGCTGTGAAACTCATTAGAATAACAATATAACTCATTATCTATGTTAACCAACGTTTATTCGTAAATCTGGTCTTTCACCGTCACGTGTGTATTGTATTTTTGCCCAATTATAAACCAACAGCAATGTTTTAGGAAAGTTACCTATCCGTGACTATAACAATAGGGTAAATTGGAAATTGCTATTGGTGGATTTGGCAAAAATACAATACGCACGTGACGGTGAAGGACCAGATTTATGAATAAACGTTGACTAACATAGATAATGTGTTATATTGCTATTCTGATGAATTTCACAGCCATCTGGCATCTGTCCTTCGATAGGCTAAGGTTGGACCAAGACTCGAGTATATTAGTGTAGATTGTAGAAGAAAGTAGTTGAAATCGTGTTCTTGTGTCTGAATATGACCCGACCTGTATTGCAATAATGTTACATTTTTACATTTAGAATATATAGATAAGTAGGCATATTTTAGCTTTTAATCTATCGCTGATAGTAATATATGTAATGAGTTTAATATTGTGTTCTTTCAATTTACTGTTTACAAAATTAGGTCTGAAAATTTTAAAATATAAACTGCCGCTCGCAATTTCCATTTACAAAACCCATCAAATTCAAGAACAGTCTGTATTCAATTTATGTTATTGTCAAGACACACCAACATAAATACCAGTAAACCATTACCCAATATTACATAATTTACATACAGTACACGACAGGCAGGGACTGACCACAGAGATAATCTCCAATAATGGGGTTCCGAACAAATACTAACAATACATTTAAGCCCTGGGCAAACTAGGAAACGTTGTGGGAACATTTGGTGATTCTCGATGTTTCCTCAAATGTTTCCCTGTTTGCCCATCCGTGGAAACATTGTTGCAGAAACAAAATTTGTTTCCCGAGAAGCAAAAATGTCTCCTAGCGAATTCAGAAACATTCCATCATTTTTCGATGTTTCTCACTAATCGATTTCCCTAGTGTTTGCCCACAGACAGCCCACTCTTGGAAATTTGGCGAAACATTGGTAGGAAACAATGTTTCCGCAACAATGTTTCCTAGTTTGCCCAGGGCTTTACATAACTATTCGCTTTGGCTAACTGTCAAGTGTGAAGTGTCAACGTTCATACACAGAAACGAGTGGAGTGGCACACTGACTTGAGTGTTCTTGGATTGTCAGGGTTGTAAGGGTTCTAGAAGGTCGAAGTAGTAGTTAAATAATGAGGATTTGAAGTAAGATCTTGAGGGACTTTCCGAGCGAAGAATGAGCGTGGGAAATGACGTCTGGTTCGCAGACTACACCGCGTATGTCATGTGGGCAGGAAGAATGTTCCAAACGGAAGAACTAATTTCAAAAAAATTGTGAATGCTTCCACTGCCCACCAATTCTATCCACCCACTTTATGTCTCTAATCATTTTAATATCGTTTGTGACTTCTGGCACGTCCTGTTGTATGGATCTTGTATGGGACGTCAATCTCGTTCCCCGAGCCTGCGATCCTCGGGAAGGAATCGAAGGCTCTGGGATAATCCGTTACCGGAAGCCAAGAATCCTGGCTAAGATTGAACTACGCATTCCATTTCAATGGCCAATCAGATTCCTCCCTGAAACGGATTATCCCAGAGCCTCGCGTTCCTTCCCGAGGATCGCAGGCTCGGGGAACGAGATTGATAGGACGTGTATTTGTGCATGTGCACCATGTCCGGTCTGTCCATAGCATGATTTTTACGCCAAATAAATTATTAACGGTAATGATTATCAGACAAAGCCGTGATGATGACCTGATACTCGGGGCCTTCACTCTCCCCTAGCCTGCTCGCAGGCCGTTGTCAGGCAGAGGCTGCACGAGGAACGGCCTGCGACCTTTATTAGTAAAAAGTCGATTTATGCGTACGGAGCGTACGCAAAATTCCCATTGGTCAGAAGTGCCCCATGAGTTAATATCGTGCAAATATTTAACTCGTACGACATTTCGCAATGTAATTTTAAAGCTGGCATTCAATCAGTGGCGTATAAAACCATGACTTTGTTTATCTCTTCGAAGAAGTATTAAACTGAATGTATTTGAGAAACCTTTCAATTTAAATTAACGTTGAAGGATGAGCGAAGGTTAGCAATATTAACTGTACTTCCAACGGGATTTGATAAAAGTTTACATGTAATATACCGATACTTTGTCTTCGTCAGCTATAATAATAAACCTTTTCCAAAGAAGTACAAGGGAAAACTTCGATGTATGCCTTGCTGATCTTTGCAGAGAGAGTAAAATAAGGCTAGTTCAGGCTGACAATTTATCTAACTGCGTTTGCATCACTTGCGGTTTCAAACGTTGAAGTGAACAACTTAAGGTTAGCCCAGCGAGACGTTCGTTGAGTCGACACAGGCAGTGAATCAGCTAGTATAAAGCAGTTGATTGTCAAATGCCTCCGAACATTTCTCCCAATACTTCCCTGTCAACCCCAAGGCTTTCTGCCTAAACAATCTGGTCTTGAATAAGTCAAGACAATGGGCAAATTATTAAAACAGACGCCGTTGAGGAAAGTCGTTCTTAGAACACCTGGCCAATTTGAATTTACACCTGGAAATTTTGCAATAGTCGTTTGCGTGTTTTTGACCGAAGTCCGCTCTCTCTTTGAGACTTTATTTTTGGGAGTCTCAACTAGTGACATATATTATTATAACAAGAGCTTTTTACAAAAAAAATGTAGTTATTAAACACGGCAGAATCGATGCCACGGCCACGGGTTTTCAAATTGTCTATTGTCTATTGAGTTAATTGTATTATCAGTTGAGCAAATGACAGACTTCACACAATAATGATTATTATTATACATTGTAGTTGGTAAAAGCAATTTGATTGGCTAAGAGCTTACAGTTAAATCGCGCAATCACGCAACCTACACAAAATTCAGTTATCTGCTAGCAGATAACTCAGTTATCTGCTAGCAGATAACTGAATTTTGTGTAGGTTGCGTGAAATTGAATGAGTGTACATTTCAAATGAGTGTACATTTCAATTTTCGAATGAATGTACATTTCATAATTGTAATGTTTACTTTAACAAGTAAATATTTTAATACGTTAACATCTTAACGATAATATGTTTCTTTTATATTTGTAATTAATTTAACTGTTGGACTTCCGGAGACTTGTTTATAGAAACGTTTTACTTGAACAGCTTTGCCAGAAATCATATTGAATATAACGCTTACCGAGACCTTGATAATTTTGCATATCGCAAAAACCGAATTCAATAATTGTTTTATTATACATTTGAAGAATAATAAACATAGTATTAAAATACTAATGTTTATTATTCTTCAAATGTATAATAAAACAATTATTGAATTCGGTTTTTGCGATATGCAAAATTATCAAGGTCTCGGTAAGCGTTATCAGCCTCGCCTTCGGCTCGGCTGATAACGCTTACCTCGACCTTGATAATTCCGCATATCACAAAAACCTCATCCAATAATTGTTAAATGTTGTTTTTTAGCCTGCTATTGTTCGACACTTTTAATAAATAGGGTTTGTTACTTTGTTCAAAACCTAAATACGTTTCCTTAAATCTTACAGTTATATTTTGGATATAAATAGAGAGTAAAATTTTACGTCTCTGTAGTATAGTTACATAATTTAAAACGGCAATGTACGAACAAGACAGCAATATACAAACGGGTCTATGTTTTAAATATTAGAACACTTTAGGGAAAAAACGACCATGAATTATTTTAGATTAAAGTTTAGACTTTGGAATCCTAGTGAAAGATACAGGCGTAAAATTGCGCGAGAAACTGTTTGTTGTTGTTAATAACCTCTGGTAATCTAATTAACAAAACTTGCTTTGATTGGCTATTATTTACCGGATATTCAATTATCTCAAAGGGGGCGTATTGAAAAAATATCAATAAAAGTCGCAGGCTCTATATAATAAAGCCTGTGAGCAGGCTAGACTTGCACCTGGTCACTTAAACGTGATTGTGGATGTCACAAATAATAAACTAACTTAACTAATCAAATTAATGTGCATGCATAATATTAATATTTATTAAGTAAATATGTTATACATGGTGCCCCAAAGCTGTTGAGATGGCGTGTTGTTTGGGGGAATGATTGCCTTAGCACTCTGCTGAACCCATAAGTGCATAAAAGCTTGACAAAAGTAAATTTTATGAATAAAGAAACTGTTTAAGAAGTTGTTTAAATTCCCAAAGAGCAGAAAATCGTAAGCTTGCAAAGATATTTTAATTTCTTCAATAATCAAAATATATGCATCCTATCGATCATATTTCACGCATCTTTACGTTCAGTTTGGTGCTGAGGCGTTCGGATTCTAGCAGTGCGTTGTTTCAGTGGTTTTGGTTTTTTTGGGACACCTTGTAGAGTATACTGTGAATTAAAAGGTCTATATGTTAGGAAGAGGAGGGGCACCATGCAATGGACTTTACGTCCAGTTCGTGCCTTGTCCGTTTGAGTACAGGTCTTTTTAATTGTATATGTTTAGATGAATATTTGTTGAATTCATTTGTTCTCAATAAAGTTTAACAAACGTTCACATCTTCAGTCTTCGCACAGTACGTGGCATCATTATTACGACACAAAACTTCGGTCTTCTCTGTGATTTCATGGTTACAAACTTCAAATTTACTTCTTGAAGCATTCATGTTATATACTCCTTTCCTGAAACAAGGTTTGTTTCGGTCCAAGAGAAGAAAATAAGCGTTTTAAAGCGAAAACTATACATTCTGTAATAGAAATCTATAGTATTCACTCCTCAAGTCAGGCCATTCGATATGGCGGCCGTCAGCTCACTTCCGACTTCACTTCTGAACACCGGATGCTCTATCCAGTCTTGGTGTATACCAGTGGCTTTGAGAAATATAATAGTACAAGGAAGAACTCTCAAAAAAATTTGACAGGTTAGCAAAATACATTTATTACATAAAAATTAGTTTAAATACAAGTTTTTGTAAAGAATTAATACCGAAACAACAGCGCAAAAAACATGTTCATTGAGAATATAAATTTTTCAGAAAATATGTTTGCGATGTTACTCTTCGGTTCGATACCGTCCTGACCGCGTAGCTCAGTTGGAAGAGCATTGGGCTAGTATTCCAAAGGTCGTAGGTTCGAATCCCACCGTGGCCGGGCATATTTTTCAAGCTCGCCCGGTGTGCATATGCACTCAGAGTAACATCGCA